CGGCAGGGTCAAGTCTTGCTTCCAAAGGTTACTTTCAAAAATCATCGAACCTGTCAGGCCTGGTATGGGGGAGGGGACCCTTTTTATTTTCTTAAACAACTTCCTGTTGAGGAGAGGGAATGGGGGAGGGCCTCCTCCCCCCCTCGGCCCCACCCCTTCAGGGAGACTCCCTGGTCCTTTGGAGGCGGGAGGGGGGGCGCTCAGGTGTGAGAGGGCACTAGGTCTCTGCTCTCTGCTCCTAGGACTGGGGCAGGGGGAGGCGGCTCCTAGGGGGCCTGAGCTTGGCTGTCCTGGCAGTGCCTTCCGGTCTGTGCGCGGGCTGATTCTGACCCTTTTCTTTCCCCAGCAGGGCAGCTGGCCTGGAGCTTTAGCCAGGCGCGTGCCATGGCCCCACACTGGGCTGGCTGGCTGCTGGCTGTGGGGCTGTGGGGCCTGGGCTTTGGGGCTGAGATGTGGTGGAACCTGGTGCCCCGCAAGACGGTCTCTTCTGGGGGTGAGTGTCTGAAATCAGGAGACAGACCAGCTGGGGAGAGGGGCCAGGAGGGAAGAGACGCTGAGGGTTGCCCCCTTGGCTGTGCCGGCTTCACTCTGCTGGTAAGGCCCGCCGAGGCGTGTGACCCAGTTTTGACCCCAGGGACTTAGAACTGATGGTCCAGCCAGGACCTGGGCTACCCCCTGCCTCTGATGCTCAGGACCCGCAGGCCCCATTCTGCATCCCTCTCCCCGTGCCTGCCTTCTGACATTGCCACTCTCACTGAGTCCGGCCAGAGAATCCCGAACCCGCGTCTTACAGCCAAGGCCTGCGACCTGGTGGCCCTGGGTGGGTGTGTGTGCACGTGCTCATGTGGGAGAACCACGGACCTGACAGCCCTTAACGGTGCGCGCACCTGCACCAAGGGGTGATGTCAGGTGTTTGTGTCATCCCTGCGCTCTGGGGACCTGGGATGAGCTCACCTCCCACAGGCGGCACTCAGGTGCTAATGAAGCCCTTCCTTACCTGTGTCTGGGCCCATCTTTGGCTCCAAAGACTAAGCTGGTTTAGGGGGACCCTGAGGACGGGCCAGCAGCTATTTGGGAGCCGACATAGGGGTCCTGTGACTATGTGGATGCCGTAGTGCCCTGCCTGGCTTCCCAGCCCCCAGGCGTCAGCACCCTCTCTGGTCCCAGCCTCCGGTCTCCCCTGCCATCCCCCGCCTGTTGCAGGGGCCAGCTGTGCTGGTATGTCGGGCAGCCTGGATTTGTCTGAGTGGAGTGGGGGGGTTCTAAGACAAGGAGCGCTCTCAACTTCGGTATGCCCTGCCCTGCGGGGTCAGGGGTGGGGTCTGGCTGGACTCTGATGTGGGCAGTGGGCAGCAGAGCAAAGAAGGAAGAGGCAGCTGTGGAGCTGGGAAGGAGAATGCCCAGCTCTGCAGCCAGAGGCGCTGCTGGCCTGAGAGTGGGAGCCATAATTCTGATGGCTTCCTCTGGCCGGAAGCTGTGGCTGAGATGTCCTTCCTTCCTCCTCACAGCTCAGATGTGCCTCCTCCCAGGCTTTCCCAGGGAAAGCGAGGAGCCCACAGGAGCTGTCAGCCAGGCGGCAACTCAGGAAATGCGCTTTAGTGCCCTCAGGGCACTGGGCTGCATTGCTTGTGGGGTTGCTAGCCCTAATGTGGGGAACAAGGACAAGTAGGCCCAGGAGACCATTGCATAGAGCAGCGATTTTTCAACCTTTTCATCTCATGACACACATAAATTAATTACTAAAATTCTGTGGCACACCAACTACTGTTATATTGCCTATTGTCATTTTTTGTATTGGACAATATAAGGGAAAAGTGGTCAGTGCCCCTGACTAAAATAGTTGGGCATGGTTTTTGTTGTTAACCTCACCTGCGGGATATTTTTCCATTGATTTTTAGGGAGAGGGAAAGACAGAGAGAAACATCGATGTGAGAGAAACACATCGATTGGTTGCCTCCTGCACGAGCCCTGACCAGGGCCCGACTGGGGAAGAACCTGCAACCAAGGTACGTGTCCTTGACCGGAATCGAACCCGGAACCCTTTAGTCTGCAGGCTCAAGCTCTATCTACTGAGCCAAACCGGCTAGGGCAGGTATTGCATATTTTAAAAATCTTATGGCACGCTGGTTGAAAACTTCTGGTGTAGAGGAAGGCTGATTTGGGGTGGGGGGGTGCCTGGAGCCCTAAGAAGGCCCCCTATCCACAGCCTTGCTCACTCCCATCTTGTCCCTGCAGAGCTTGCCCCCGTGGTGCGGCGGTTCTCCCAAACGGGCAT